AGCTCCACGGGCAGGCGTCCAGTGGGAGCGCAGAGTCCGCGGCTGTCGTGGACATGAACTCCTGGTACAACTTTACCACCTTTGACATTATTGGTGACTTAGCCTTTGGCGAGCCATTCTATTGTCTGCGCGATGCTAAGTGGCACTGGTGGCTGCATGCTGTCTTTGATATCTTCCAGGCTGGGACCTACCTTCGTGCTGCTCGTCGATTCCCGTCACCGCTGTCTGAGATGCTTCTGCTTCTCATTCCCCGCCGACTCATCAAGACGAGAGTGGCCCAGTTCCAGTTTGGCGTTGAGCGTGTGAACCGCCGTCTTGAGCAAGAGACTGACCGCCCCGACTTCAGTAGGCTCACATCTGCTAACCTCAATCAAGGCAGGTTGCTAACGGGATCCATAGTGTACTACATCTTGCAAGGGAGCGATGATAAGGGCATGTCAACCGAGGAGATCTATGCCGCTGCCCAGGTTCTTATCGTCGCCGGCAGTGAGACTACAGCGACAGGTCTGACCGCAGCCACCTATCTCCTCTGCGAGAACCCGCAAACACTGGCCAAACTCACTTCAGAGATCCGTAACACTTTTGAGAACGAAGACGACATTACCATCCAGAGCACAGCTGGACTGAGCTACCTCAACGCTGCCATCGAAGAGGCCCTTCGACTGGGACCTCCTGGCCCTGGAACATTTCCTCGCGTGGTCCCTGATGGCGGAAGAATGGTCTGTGGACAGTTCGTCCCTGCCGGGTACTCAGTCGGCGTTCACCACCTGGCCATCAACCGATCGCCGATTCACTTCAGTAAGCACGATGAGTTTCATCCCGAGAGATGGCTCGGGGACCAGAAGTTTGAGTCGGACCAGAAGTTAGCAGCCCAGCCATTCTCATTCGGGCCAAGGAACTGTATTGGAAAGAAGTAGGTCTCAGACTCCTCCTTTGAGTGAATGTGGCTGACCAACTTCATAGTCTGGCTTATGCCGAGATCCGGACAATCATTGCCCGCGTTGTGTGGAACTTTGACATGAAGTTACACGCTGATAGTGCAGGCTGGTTAGGGAGACAAAAGATGTTTACTACCTGGCACAAGACAGAGATGAAGGTGTATCTTTCCGCACGGGCAAAGTCACCTTAAATGGGCATAGGCATGACTCCTTCTGAGAAAATTTTCTGTGATCTTTTATTAGCAAGGACCTAGTCACTATGCCTGCCATGATGAACCTGAGCCAGATGTCAATACGGCGTGAAGATTGGTCTGGGGTTTTTTCAGTATGGTCGTTCGATGTTACAAGGGAATGAAGCGTGTACATGTTACTCGAGAACCCTAAATCACATACCTTTACATTCTGCAAGCAATATCTCATCTGTGTCTTCACTCGCTGCTAGCACCAAGTTTCCATGAGCGAGCACGGCATTGTCATGCAGAGGCACATTGGTCTGGGCCCCCTAGGGCCTGGACGGTGTCGTTGTATCGAAGTAGTGCATTATAATTTGGGCGGAGAACTGCAGCAGAGATAGAATCATGTAATCCCGCTTCTCCTGGTCTTCCAGGCAGAGCTGACGAAAACTCAGGCTGCTTCACTCCTTGTTGGAAACACGTGGGCGGGACCCTCACAGATCGTGCCGAAGCCAGCATGGTCCCGGCCCATGAGCTTGCTCCGTACTACATGTAGCTTATACAGTGGTCCTTTGTTACCATAATTCAAGAGAAATGCAGCATGGGTCTTTGATAGGTGGGGATGTGCAGCTGCTAAAGTAAGACTTCGTGGGGTTGGCAGCATTTAAGTTTAGATGTAGCATGTCACAATTGAGCACAGGACGAAGATAGCTGTCATCCGGCCTCGATCCACGCCTCAAACTGGGCGAAGAAAGCTGATTCTTGGATACTAATCCCCATCACTCGCCTCACGGACCTTTATTCATGAAGGGCTCAAGTTGGGTCTGATATCGAAATTACAGGGGCTTCTGTCATCTCCTTTGGCCACGCCAATAGCTCCCCCCAATACGACCCAAGATGAGCTGCAATGGACCTTACGAGGTTCTTTCCCGCGGCCCCGAACGCCCAGCAGTCTCTCGCCTTATGCATCAACACGCCCCAATATGCCAGCACCACCAACGCCTCGGGCCGTCTTTGGTCGAGCAGGCTGACGTACTCGGCTGGAACCCGGATTGACCACTCCTGTACAGTGCTGTACCGCCGACCTGCAGGTATGTCTGTGTTGCGATGAATGTCGAACATGAGCTGCAGGTGCTCGACTGCTTCCTGGCACGCCGCCTTGGATGCATCGTTGAGGTCGCTCGATTCAAAGAGGCGCAGCAGATGTCTACATTCGTTGCCTGTCTCGTACCGTTCTCTTCTGATGATCATGTTCTGCACGAAGCGGCTCCCTGCACCTAGGTGGGTATCAAAGTGAGACCGGAGCCTGTCCCACGAGCCCCCTACGACGCTCCGAACGACCCGATGGAGGCCCATGCAGTGGACTAGCTTATCCAGAGTGACTGGAAGATCAGCGGGTATCGAGAACGTGTCGAAGAGAACGTGTTGACCGAGCCAGGTGGAAAACAGGAAAACTGTAAGGAAGTCTTCATCAGACAGATCGCCGTCAGCCACCGTAAAACGTGAAAGGCTTCTCGTCTGTAGTCGTGTTGCTTCGCTGCGATAGAAAGCCTGATCTTCTCCCGGCAAAGTGCTCTTGTGTGCTGCAGCTATAGCTAGAAGCTCGTCCATCAGAAATGACACCCGGAAGGCTTGCTTCAGTGACATTTGCTGGTACTTTTGTCGCGTGAGAGTATCGCCGAACCCTTGGTTGTAGCCCAAGTTATGCTCGAAATGGTATAGCAACTCCATGTGCCGGAGATCGTATGGCTCTGTCGGCACATGGCTATTACGGCAAGTCGCTTGCTCCGGGGTGATGGGCACCGCCGGGCTTGCTGTTGATGACCCTATTGATGTTGCTGGGCTCGGACATTGGTACGAGAACGTGGACGATGATGGTACTGCCGCCTCAGTGTCGAGGTATGAGCATCTCCTGAGAGCAGTCGTGCAGTTGACGCATGCCGGCCGAGACTCGTCGCATTTTACATGACGTTGCTTACACTCTTTGCACCCAAATCTTGACTTTCGATGAGGTGTCCGCTGGCGCATTTTGCCAAGAGCTTCCGGTGACAGGCGGGCGAAGTGGCGTGTTTAAAACTGCCAATGTTCCTCGAGGAGTTTTCACTCCCAAGTTTCGGGCGAATGTGAAGCAAAAGCAGCCCGTCTGATGCGAATACACTGAGATGGAATGGCTTCAAGAAGCAAGAAAGAAATCAAGCCACCGAATGAATTATTACCGGAAACATGATCGGGAAGGGCAGAAAGACTCCTTTAAAGTCTCGGTCCAATCTCAAGCCCCGCTAACAAGCATATCCCTGGACCACGCACTGTGCGACCGAAGACGCCTTTTCAGCTCGCTCGACTTCATCGAGTGAGTGGCAGTGTATGATTCTGACGAGATTGCGATTACTAGAGAACGTTGATGTCGCGAAAAGAAGTTCAAGATGATCAGAGATTTTATACTCAGCTGTCCTGCGTCAAATATCTGAAGAAACCGTGAAGGCATAATCATCCGTACAGAATTCGAAATACGCGTGTATCGTGAGCTGCTAGCGAGATCTCGTAATGTCCGTTTGTCCAAAGGTGGTTTCGTTGGACGGTTCGTCTGATGATTGGTCGAACTCAAAGTGACAACCCATGAAGAGAAGATGCAAGCAAGCCGACGTTGTTCATGTATTTAGCTATAAATATGCAACATTCTACGTATGCCTCGAAGATTCAGGCATCACTTCAGCGAACAATGAAATATCTTCATTTGTAACGCCATCCACAGTCCGGATGTATCAGATCGTCACTGGGTGACACGCCTCGAAGAAGCTCAGCGCCTGCCTTAGCGTCCGTCGTATTTATCCCTGCGCGTACTGTAAAGTGAGCGATTGGACAGTCGATGGCAGTCCAAACCCGAACCAATTAGAGCCTTCTGAGTACGGACTGGTCCACAATGTCGGTGGGCACCAGTGTCCTCAATATTCTGATTCACGGACATCCATGGTGTTATTGCCCTCTGTCTCCCATTATGAACCCGAGTTGAATGCTGGCAGATTGTCTTATTCTCCTTCTATCTCTCCAACTCAGAAACTTTTCGGTCCAAGCATTTCCTCTGGTATGACAAAGACTTCTCAACGGGAAAAAGATTTGTCTTCAAATAGAGTAGCCTCTCGCCCACACCTACGGAAACCACCACCGCGGCATCAAAAACAACGTCACTACACAATCTTGAAGTCCAGCCCACGATTACGACAAAAGAATGGACGATCTGGGAATCGAACCCAGGACCTACCGCATGCTAAGCGGTCATTATACCACTAAACCAATCGCCCAGGAGGATGATCTAGCCCGGACTTGAACCGGAGACCTTCAGTGAACAGTGAGATTATCGTGAGAGAGTCTCAACTTGTTAGACTGACGTGATAACCAACTACACCACCAGACCATCTGAATTGTTGCAGGCACGAGCGAGAGATTGCCCTAGTGTGGGTGGGATCGTGCCGCGTTGAGCCCTGGTGGAGTTGACAGCTCAACTCGCAGGCGGGAGCTCCGCACGGAAGACCCCCGAGTCCACAGATACCGGCCCGGCATTCAAATGATACCAAGCCCGAACCGAACGAGCCGGCTAATAAGGGACTCTGCTGTATAATGGTAGACAGACAAGAGGTCCTTTCCCCTTTCTTGTCCCAGTGTTTCCTCTTAAACTTGTCGCCAAGGCCTGGAGACAAAATAAGTAACTGAAGTGCCGCGCCAGTCGGGACCAGCTGGCAATACTTTGCAGCTTGATTATCTAAGCAAATGCCAAGGGGTCGCTCTTCGGTGTTTCGCGCTCTCAGCCCGCCGGCCCATCACGTAACTTTCAGAAGTGAACCACCGAATCTCACCAGTTCATCTCACATCTCACTCTCATCTCACGTCCCCAATGTCCAGCGCTCAAGCAAACGAGACGACTTCGCTCTTGCCATCACGAAATACCCATCCCGATACCATCGCCGAGGAAACAGAGACAATGAGCAGCCAGGCCTTTTGGAGAGTCGGTGCCATCTTCGGCGCCACCGCCGTCGGTCTCGGAGCCTTCGGAGCCCACGGCCTGAAGAACCGCATCTCTGATCCCGCAAAGATTGCCAGCTGGTCCACCGCCGCTCACTATCAAGTGAGTTGCTCTCATCTTGTTTCACTTATCATCATCAGTGAGATCAGTAGCTGACCCTAAGACAATCATTAGCTCGTCCATTCCGTTGCCATTCTCATCGCTCGATCCAACCCCCTCGCCGCCGGTCTTTTCACCGCTGGCGCGACCATGTTCAGCGGTAGCATCTACGCCCTTATCCTCAACCCTGATCTCAAGTTCCTCGGTCCCGTCACTCCAATTGGTGGCCTTGCTCTGATTGCTGGCTGGCTCGCCTTGGCTTTCACCAAGGGTCGCGTTCGTTTCTAAGCCTAAGCGCTTCCACTGAGATAAAGTCCATTGTCGTGCACTCAGTCTCCGACCCAGAGGAATGCAATTGACTCCATTCTTGTAATACTACCTGTACCATAGACACCTGAGTTGCTGCGCGCACCTTCGAATGCACATCCACTCCTCCTGAGACAGACTGTTCCTATTTGACTTATCATTCATGTCTTTACCCAAACCATGACTGTGATGGGCTCACGTGCCTTACGCGGGTACCTTCACGTCAGCTTCAACCCCTTCTCGTACGGACTTTCCAATCGAATATTAACAGGGGCAAGGGCCGTCAGTCGTTCATGCGTAGTTGCCGGGCGCCCTAACATGGAAGGGGTTGCTGTCAGCTTACCACAACCCCTGAGACTAAGAGCCGCCGGGGTAACACGGTCAGCCCTACGTGATATCGAATACAGGCTGCGCACCATCTTGTGTGAGGAAGAACTTCCGTTCAGCTTTCGCTAAACGTCTGACTAAGTTGAATTGGATAAATCGTACTCAAAGCAGCTTCACGGGGTTCATTATTGGCATGGTTGCCTTTCTACATCGAGCATATTCGGTGATGACCCCTGCCCAGATGACGACGTTTGAGCCTGGGGAATTGGCTATTCATACTCAGGTGACAATTTCCGCCGCCAAAATGACAAGTCGGGGATGATGGGGTCGAGAAAGGGGTCAGATATGTCCCATTCGGTTCTAAAAGGTACTCCTCTTCGCCTAGGAAAGAATGAGCATCTGACAAATCGTCTCTCGATCAATCGCGGCAAAGATCTATAAAGAGGCCCACAAAGGCAGATACCTGACAGAGCAATTAATGAGCTTTCTCTCATACCATTTCCAATTCCTCAAAAACAATAATCATGACCAATCATCAAACCTCACGCCCCAAGACCATGCGCGCCGTGGTCTGGGAAGGCAAACCCTATGAGATGGCTGTCAAAGCAGATATCCCACTCCCGCGTCTCGAGGAGCCAGAAGACGCCATCGTCCGCATTACCACATCTGCCATCTGCGGCACTGACCTTCACATCTACCATGGCATCATGTCCAGCGCCGAAGTGCCCTACCCCGTAGGCCACGAGGCTATGGGAATTGTCGAGGAAGTAGGGGATGCCGTCGACAATCTGCAAGTCGGTGATCGCGTTGTCGTCTTTGGCCTTCCCGAAGACGGTGTCATCGACACTGACAACCAGATCTTTCCTCAGCTTGGTGGATTCGGTCTTGGCAAAGACTTTGGCGACCTAGGTGGTCTCCAAGGTGGGTATCTGCGCCACTAATTACTACAAAAATATAGAATGAAACTAACTTGAATTCCAGCCGAGTACGTCCGCGTGCCCTTCGCTGACAGCTCCCTCATCAAGATTCCTAAGAAGCTCTCCGACAAGGAGTGGCTCTTCCTCAGTGACATCTTCCCCACCGCATGGGAAGGGCTGAACTGGTCGGGCTTCCAGCCAGGCGACTCCGTGGCTGTCTTTGGTGGCGGTCCCGTCGGCCTGCTCTGCGCCTATAGCGCCATCATTCGCGGTGCTAGCCTAGTCTACGTCGTGGACCACATTCCACAGCGCCTAGTCAAAGCCGCCAGCATCGGTGCCGTTCCCATCAACTTTACCAAGGGCGGTGCCTCGGCCTCGGAGCAGATATTGGCTCTCCGTCCCGGCGGCGTGAACCGTAGTGTCGACTGCTGCGGGCAGGAGTGCGTCAATGCGGAGCTGAAGCCGCAGCAAGATTACATCCTACGTGAAGCCATCGCCGTCACCTCTGTTGGCGGCGGGATCGGGATACCTGGCGTCTACTGGGCCCAGGAGAAGAGCGTGGGCGCGCCCAATGCAGATAAGATGAAGAAGAACCTCAGTCTACCAATGAGTGACTTTTGGATCAAGGCGCTGACGATGAAGAGCGGTATTGTTCAGGGGCAGCCGACGTTTGCTGCGCTAGTGAAGCTGGTCGAGAGCGGACAGGCTAGACCTGGTTTCATTGCTACGGCAGAGTACGACCTTGATGACGCTCCCAAGGCGTATAAGAGGTTTGATAAGAAGCTCGAAGTCAAAGTTCTGTTCCGTGGCGCTGGCAAGGAGGGGAGGGACGACTATGAATGGGATGAGGAAGTGGAGTCGAAGAATCAGGGGGGGCGCTGGAATGCGGTAAGCTTTATACCTGCGCTATGTTGGGACATGATACTCACGAAATGACAGGTCATCTGGGAGAGCCAAGAGAGCAAGATTGCACTAGGATAAGCTCTTCTCTGGCGACGTAAGCTTGATGGAAGCTGGAATCTTCTCCATAAATAATGGTTGTCATTTTCAATGAATCGCAACAGGAGGAACCAGATAGTTTCATCGCAACGGTCCGCTGACTTCAATCTGAACGTCAAATTTCCCTCATACCTCTTTGCTGACCCTGAGACTTGTCCTATGGTATTCCTATTATGAATCCATACACGGTTCATCCAACTCGAGACCAGAGTATTTCACATTGTCAAAGACTTGTTGCGCTACTTCAACAAGTTGCATTGTGGCCCCTGCTTTCGAGTCAGAGGTTGGGTTTGCACCACTTACCTTGGTTGAGCTGAGGACTTGGGTGCCGCCACAATGGTATTTGCTGTTACCTTGATGATACGGACCCATGATCTCTCTGCAAACTTTCTCTCTCCATAATCTATTACCTTGAGAGCGAACTTGGGTGGCGCAAAGATTGATTTCCTGGTGTATAGATAGGCCCTCGACACTTGGACAGGGACAAGAATCGGTTCAGAGATCATCTCGCATTGTCATTCATGGAGACAAAAGCCTTGGCTTGATCTCTATCGTCTTCGATGATTCTACACTTTATGAATCCATTCTCTATTTCTTGCAAATCCTCTGATGAGCTGCAACGACCTGCTTTCACAACGCATATTTTAGTAGAAAGCCCCTCGACGGTAGACCTCGGTTCTCATTGCCCGAACGTACCTAACTAATGGTCATGTAGCTTTTCATTGCAGCGTTCTTCCCGTACTGATGGACTCCTCCTCTGAGACTCGTTCGGTTTTGAAGTACCGGAGCAATGACGGGCTATTTCAACGCTGGGGTATTTATACGGGGCAGGTCGTAGGACCCAGACGAAGCCAGACTCGCACACAAACCTCTATCTTGCACCGACTTCCAACAGAACTCCTGTTTGAAATAATGGATCTCTTATCTCCAGATGATCTTTACTTTTTTCGACAGTCTTCGGCAATCTTTTTGCACGCCTTTTCCCACCGAACCTTTGCTAGATATCATAGTGAAGACTCATCTGCGGAGCCCGAAAGCAAGGACGTCGGAAAGTCCCTCATATCACGATTGATGACTGTCTTGATGGCCTGTCTACTGTTCTTGCGCCTGGCAGATTCGAAGAAACAGGCGGTATCTATCAAAGGACAAATTCAACAAAAGAGACAGATGCTGATGAGATTCGACGTTCGGCAGCTCTCGTACTCAGACAGAAAAGATTTTAGAGAGCGTGTCCGAAGGGGGGTTCTCTGCAAAGACTGCGCTTTGCGTGCGCCGAGAAGAAGATACAAAGGCTTAATCTGTATCGACGCCTTGTTCTGCCTATACTGCAGAACGAAGCACTTGAGATCTTGGTTCTCGGATGGAATGTCGACTCCAGAAACCCAGTTATGCATCCCACGGGAAGGGAAGCTAATTATCTGCCCACACTATCACCAGTCACTCAAAAAGATGTACAGGGACACACTTACAACAAGATTGGACTCCGATGATTATTACATTCAATTATTTGAATGCCAGCTATGCGCCCCGGTGTTCAAGCTTGGTGGCGGAATGGCCCCTGGCATTTACATGTCCCGTGGGACTTGGGTGCACGGTATTATCAAATACTATCAGCAACCCCTATTGATAGCACGATGGAAACTTCCCATCTGCAAGATCGGTCGAGGGGAGGTGCTCACCAAAGAGCGTCTTCAGCAATCTCTTCGGGGGCTACAGCCGCTCAGTCATTTTCTATGCCCTCACGTGGCTTTTGACGATACCTTTCTCATGCGGGCCTTCGAACAGGGATACTGTATCTGCTTTCAAAACCCCTCCGACCGGGGCAAGATTTGGCACTGGCACAGTCCCGAAGTCTTAGGACTTTGCAGGTGCTGCGCGTGTCGTAATCGTTCCAACCCCGATTTGATGGGCAGATTCATGGCCGGCGGCAATGCATGTCGACATGTCGTCAGGTGCCCACGCTGCCCAACTGTTTACGAGTGGATTCTGGATGGGCGTCAGATCTTGCTTGAAAAGGAACAATCCGCTTTGCGTCTTTCCCTATCTCCTAACAGCGAGGGTAATTTCAGAGTTCGACCAAAGTTGGGCCAGCTGAGTCTAGAGAGTTGGATCAGGTGTCTTGACCCTTTGACATTCCGTGGCAATGAAGCCTCAAGGTTTCAGTTGTTTTGTATACGGGATGGGTGTTCTAATGCTGTGCCTGAGATTTCGAGATGGGACAGTTTAGTTTGGGAAAGTCTCACCCCAATGATTATAGGAGACAATTGGGTATACTAGGATTGATTTACTTCATTTCATATCATCGCGCAACTTCAATGCTCGCCTATAAGGGAATCTTAGCTACATGTGTACCGCACACGTCTCACCATTCAACTGAAAGCGGGCTTCTGATCAGCACCCTTAACATCGACCAAGTACGAGACCCGATCCTTGCAGTAGAACTCAACGGCGGGCTTCCCTTCCAGGCTCGCCTTTCCCTCATCGAGACCACCGGCCTTGATGCACGTGACGTCGGCCATCAAGTCCAGCTCGGTATAAAGACTGGACCCGCAGTTGGAGCAGAAGAAGTGCCTGTTGTTCTTGCCCGAGTCGCCAGTGATGTCGTAGAATTTGGGCTCACCTAAATGACCGGGGTTTAGTGTATATTTAGGGAAGAATATTGGGGGAGCCTCTCGTACCTTGGGTGACCTTGAAAGATGTACGAGGAACGACGGCGTTGGAAGTGAAAGCTGAGCCGCTCCACTGTAATTCATTAGCTACATGTATGGACTTGATGAGAGTCCTGATATTGGGGTTTTCATACCTTTTGGCAATCTGTGCAGTGGCACAGGGCGGTGACTTGAGGGTCCTCTGCTTCTTATCAGCGTGGTTCACACGATGTTGCAATCGGGCCAGCCTACCAGTACTCTCGTACTTGATCGCCTTGCACATGCAGCTTCCCTTCAAACCCATTGTGTATAGTGACGTATGTACTGTTCAGTAATCAACGTGTAGAAAAAAAGAGTAAAGGATGTAGTGAAGTTGAGATGTTTGGAATAGGCTGACTTTAACCGTTTGGGATGAGGGGGAATCTACAGTACAGAACGTCCGATCGCCGTTTTTATACGTGTTTGAGACTTTCGGCTAGCGTTAGTGCCGGCAACAAGGAAGCTGAGCTTTCTCCTCTTCCTCCTCCTCTTCTTCCCTGTCTGTCATGATTAAAGCATTGGATAAGATGGAGATGTGCGGGGTTAGTTCGCTGGTTAAGGTAAGCACGGTAAGGTAATAGGCGCCGCGGGGGAGATGCATGGACCCTTTTTCTTTCAATGCTGTTCAATTGCTCCATCTATCGGCCTCTTGATTGAATCTCCGCGGGGGCGTTAGGCGAATCAAACCTTAGGCTTTCTCCAGTTTGCCCTGTTTGCTGACAGATCACCGTGGGATACTAGAATGACGTTGCTGTCAATCCAAGGGCGCAAAGGATCCAAGTATTCATACCGGGTTGGAATTTTTCCCCCATGTCCTTCGGAGTAGAGAATTCATCATAAGAATCTAGCCGGTCGGCAATAAAATCAAATACTAGTCGACAAGTATTCCGAGTATTAACTGCCTTCTGAGAGCTACCATTACTAAGTCTAGAGCCATTATCATAACTAGGTACCCTGCGCTTTCCGATAGGTACTTATTCTGCGCAGAATACGTAAGAAGTAGACAATCATAACAGCAGTAACAGTAGCGGTAGCAAGAGCAGCAGCAAGAACAGCAACAGTAATGATTCAGATAGCAGTAACAGGGCTGGTAGAATTGGAGCAATGGAAAGTATTCAGCAACAAACTATCGTGTCACTCACTTGACTGAACTAGTGACCGATCATCAGTCGTTGGATAATGAAGAATGTGGAAGCTTGGGTTGGGGCGAGGGGCCGGCGCATTGCCAAGAGTTTCCGGTGTTCTCGCTATCAACCCCATCGTCAATGTGCGGAGCGCAAACATCCGCAGTTGCGATAGCGGTGTTTTGAGTGGGTGAGAGATAAGCCAAGAGCAAGGCAAATAACATGAAGTCCAACAGGAATTATTTGAATGATTCATGTTCGTAGTCGATTAATGTAATTAGTAGTGCAATTTGATGCGCCATGTTTGAGACGCAACGAGTTCAAGCTCGATATCGATGTCGCAGGTTTCCTGCCTCAAAGTCCCGCTCTCTTTGAGCCCTCCGCTCCTCGCGATGGGCTTCCGCTCTCTTCCGCGCTGCCACTAACAGGGCCCTGGCTTCTTTCTTGCGAAGTCGTTCCTCGGGAGAAGCTTGGCGTTCCCTTGCCATGTCGTCCAGCATCTTTCTAAATTCTTCGGGCGGCGTCTCGTGCTGTAGTTTGCGGAGGTAGGCGGTTGCAGTGACCATGCTGATGCCGGACATTTCATTCTCCTTGGCATTGGCGTCGGTGGGAGATGAAGAGTTGTTTGACGACATGATGGTTGTTGAAGCAGATCGTGGATTAATGTGATTCGCGGATGAAGACATGAAGGCGGCCTTGGATAGGCAGTCCGTCTCAGAATCAAGACAGAGAAAGAAGATATGTGTGAGTGAGTGGGAGGTGAAAAGATAGACGCCAAATGATGTCCAGCGGAAGCCCGTACCAGTCGGAAAGCTCTGCAGGCTGATTACCAACAGCAACCGAGCATTGCAAACCGAGGTCGGAGCTAGGCTTCTGCAAATATTCACCAAGGAAATAATTATGACGAAGAA